CCCCCCCCAGATTCACGATTGATGAAGTCAGACCAGACCTCTGTCCATGCACGCACAGCTGACCACGTCCCCCTGACAGACACGAGGACGTGTGACACGGCAGCTCGATCACTTTCTTGCCCTCAACTCCGCCTTTTCACGTGCGATGGCTCAGTCACGAATCGCTGCTACTTGAGCGATCCCTCTGATGCTCAGACGCAGCGGAATGCAGATAGATCGCCTTGCTTGCTTGAGCGAGCGGGAAGGAGCGGTCCTTGCACGTCGATCATGAGAGCCAAGAGATGAAGCTAAGAATGTAGCAATCGCGCTAAGCGCCATCCATCCATCAAGCATTCACATAAAGCTAAGCTAAGCGTCGGCAGTCTTGAGTCGCAATTCACAAAACACACATCTTCTGCCCGCGGCACACACCCCGACTTGCCCCGGTTGCGCGAGGCAGCATGTGAGCTGCGATGAGAGCGTTCGAAGGGGGGAAAAACGGAAAGGAGTGACAGGTTTCGGAGGGGTCAAGGCAGGACTGGGCGTCCACGACGCTTGACCAAACGGCCGACGGAGGGCCAGCCACGTGGGAAGAGGTCTGCTCCCGCGCCAGCTGCGTTGCGTTCTAGAAGGACCCACGCGCGCGCACTCAAACGGACATGACCGCCGCGCGTGTGACGTGGAGCGGTGGCGGCGTGCTGCTGAGTGTCCTGGATGCTGAGCATGCATGCGTGCGTGTGTGGGATGAGAGGGGGGCGACGTGGAAGCCAGATCGCGCACAGCCCTCCCTCTCACCCCCACGACTCAGCGCTTCGACAGGCGCAAGGCCGCCACGTCATCCACCTCCTCTCACGCACATTCACTCACTGCTACGCCATACCAAGACGACTCGACCACTCGCACAGGCTCTTCTTCTTCTTCTTCTTCTTCTTCATTCGGCCTGCCATATCGGTGATCCATCGCACAAACCTTGATCGCCTATACGCAAGCCTGACATCAGCTCGAAGCTTTTTTCTATTTACGCACAGTCACCTCTTCGAATCGCACACGGACCTTGCACTCACACTGTCAAGAGTCAGCACTGCACACGCTCGCCTCTCCGACCAAGCAGCGTACACGGGTCACATACACCATGGCTTCCACATCACCCGACCTCCGCTCTCCAGCCATGTTCAGCGCTTCGACGCTTGAAGCATCGCCTTCGCCTTCAGCGTCCATTTCAATCGCATCGGCATCGGCATCGGCATCGGCATCGGCATCGGCAACCTCATCCTCTTCCACCAAGAGGAAAGCGGACAGTCAAGGTCCCAAGCCCATGGACCCGGCCCGTCGAGCACGCTTGGAAGCTCGTCAAGCTCGCAATCGAACCAGCGCTCAAATCTCGCGCAATCGCAAAAAGGCTCACGTGGAGATGCTGGAAGTGGAAGTGGAAGAATTGCGAAAGCGCAATGCCGAGCTGGAAGAGCGAGCCAAGGATGCAGAGGACACGAAACAGAGATTAAAGGTGCTGGAACAGCTGGTTCAAGCGCTCTTCAGCAATTCCCCCGTCAACGACGCGCTTCGATCGACACGGTCCATCATCGATGCGCCTCTTGGCCGCGCGCAGTCTTCTACGGCCCAACCTCTACCGCAAACCTGCGTGCCTGATGGTCTGGTCGCACCGTCCAGCATTCAGCTCGACTCATCCCCACCTTTCCTCACGCCATCCCTCCACGCGGCAGCCCCCTCGTCGTCATCGTCCACATCAAGCATCTTGCCATCCCTGCTGGCAGCGTCACCATCTTCGCCATCCACCTTCAACGTCCTCTTGCCCTCTAACACGTCCATGACGTCCAATCTGCCCAGCACAATCTTCGCATCTTCGACCCTCTCCACCTCTTCACCAACATCGTCATCCTCCCCTTGCCATTCTCGAACCGGCGCAGCGCCCATCTCTCCTTCATCTCCCTCGCACGCTTTGACCGCTCCTTCGTCCGAATCCATCTCTCACTCGCAAACATTCCCAGACGTTCGCCTCCCTGCAGCGGAGGCGTCTCCCCTTGTGGGAGCCCTGCAGCGGACGTGCGGAAAGAGTTTGACGAGATGGACGAGGATAGAGAGAGCGGGGACGCGAAGTCGAGGAGAGAAAAGGGGGAGGTACATGGCAGCAGCCTGGAATCGGGACTGGCAAAAGGAGGGTGCTTTGATGATGAGCAGACGGAAAAGAGCTCGATCGTGCGTGGTTGCGCGAAGCAGACCGGATGGCCAGGCAAGGTGTGCGGCGGTGTGGGGCACGACACCGCTGTCGGATTGCACGAGACGCTGTTTGGATCCTCTGAAGCCCATCGACTCGGATGCGACGCAGAGGAGGACGAGAAGGATCACTTTGAAATTCAGGCTGAGGGTGCGCAACAAGCGCCCGACAGCTCCGAAGAGAGGATGAGCGAGGCATCGACTTGGAAGTGTCGGAGCATGCAAGGTCAAGAAGAGACGGACAGGCTATTGGCGCTGCTGGGTTTGAGCCCTGGCGCCGCTTGCGGAGTGGATACGAGCACAAAGACATCGACGAGCGCCTTTGGTGTGCTCGATGCGGATGGATATGTGGATTTCAGCATGAATCTGGATGTGGATGCGGATGCGCTGCATGGGCTTTTTGGAGATGCTGCGCATGAAAGTCGAGATGGAGCGTTTCAGCTGGGCTCTGCTATGGACCTTTCCGAGCGCGCTGCTATGCAAGACGTTTGTAGCGGCAACGAGCTCGGACTGACGCTTGGCTCGCTCGCTTCTCTCTGAAGCATACAAGTCCTTTCGATGGTCAAGCGCGTCACTGGAGCCCCACACGTTGTGGCGATGGGATCATCATCAAGGCTTGTCCCATTCCATTCTTCCTCTTTCAGCTTTCGCGCGTGTACATGCATTTCCAGGCTCTACCTTTCCGGTCCATCGTTTCGTTCTCTCCCTCCTCGTAATCTGCCTCTTGCCCGCCTCGTCACTTTCAATGCGATGCCCGTTTTCCCCCCCAACCTCGCAGCACGCGTGTCGAAATGTGCCGCTGGGAGTGGTGTACTGCGATCGATGTATGCGGATGTGGACGGAGGTGTGTATGTGTTGTGCGCTTGCGCCGATGGTGTGCAGTGCAGTGCGGGGTGGGGCGAGGCGAGGCGAAACGGATCCTGTCTCTCTCGCCCCACCGCGCGCGCGCCGGCCCCCTCCGTGTTCTACGTTTTCCTCTTTAGAGCCGCAAACCTCTTTTCAAGCTCGTCGACGGGGTCCAAAGCTTTGCCTTTGCTTTCCTGACCCGCGTTTCCCGACATGCCACCACCAGCAGGAGCAGGAGAAGCAGCAGGACCAGCAGGATTGCCATTGTCTTGCTCTTTTCGAGAGGTGCGCGTACCGTCCAGATCAGGCTTGTCCACCAAGCCTCCAGGAGGCTGCGCACCGCTCGTCATTGCGCCGCTCGTACCCAGCGCCGTGGCCACAGCCGCATCGGATTTGGTGTTGCTGCCGGATTTGGTGGTGGAGAGTTGCGCTTGCAGGGGAGGTGGGGGAGAGGGAACGTCGATGCATGGCTGGACTTGTGCGTGGGTGGAGGTGAAGGGGATGGAGTAGGCTTTGCAGACTGTGTTAGGAGAGGGAGAGAGAGAGGGAGAAGAAAGTTGTTTGTTGGGAAAGTACCGTCGATTCTGCGTGAGCTGAGCTGATGTTGCGATCGAGTAGGTGGAGCGCCAAGGTGCAGACTCACCCTCTGCGATGTAGCTGTGAGCGCGTGTGTGTGTGTATGTGTGTGCGAGCGCGATGATGAGCATACATACGCGTACGAGTGGCCCAGATCCCGACGAGCTTTTGACTTTGACTTGCCGCCGCCCACCCCGCCGATTGACTCACGCATCCACATACGCCTCATCGGGCGTCTGAACTCTCAATCTGTCAGTGATGCGCCTAGGCACGCACTCTTCCTGATCTTCCGTTGCTCGAATGGCGAATTCTCGAGTGTAGCGAGCCATGAGCATCTCCCTTAGCACGTGCAGCTCTTTGAGTTCGGTGCGCGGTGCGGCGTGTATGAGCGCACAAAGAGGCTCTAACAGGCCCGCATCCGGCTCTCGACTGATGCGTGGCAGGTGGGCAAAGGTGAATGGTGAGCAGGTGGGTGACGTGAAGCTGGAGCAGCGCAGCGCAGCGCAGCGCTTAGCTTTGCTCAGCTTTGCTCAGCTTACCCCGGCAAGTCCAAGAGGGCCAGACGAGCGATGAGCATCTCGCAGTACAGTTCCAGCACTTCCAGCAATTCCACATGAATCTGAATGGCGGCGTGCGTGCGTTCAGCGTTCAGCGTTCAGCGCTCAGCGTCAGTCCAGTAAAAGTGATAGCCTGCCCTGCCCTGCCGCGCCTGCCCTGCCTGTCCCCCCTCCCCCCTCCACCAACTCCCTCCCTTATCGCCCCCACCACCACCCACCACTCACATCCTCTGCAATCACACCTTCCGTCTTGATCCTCGCCGTCTCCACTTTTCCCCTTTCTACCAAACTGGCCACATCCCTCCTATCCTTTTTGCTCATCGACGTCTTCTTCTCTTGAAGCATCTTCAGCCTCTGCACCACCAATTTCAGCTGCACCTTTGTGCGCGTAGAGGAAAAGGGAGGTGTCATGGTGTACGCGGTGTGGTACGGTGCGGTGCGGTGCGGTGCGGTGCGATGCGATGCGATGCGATGCGATGGGCTGTGCTGGGTGGTCGTGCTTTAGCATAGCAGCATCTTCTCGGCGATTTGCAAGTCGTGGATCACTGGAGCTGGAGCTGGAGCGTGAGCCTGAGCCTGAGCCTGAGCGTGAGCGTGAGCCTGAACTTGAACTTGAGCGCCTGCTTTGTTGATTGCGTGTGGTGGAGGCGAGGGGCGCGCCCTCGCGCATCCCGCCCTTGTCGCCCTTGCTTGACGCCATCTCGAACAATCGTGAATCTCGAGGTGTGCTGCCCGCTCGCTCCACCTTTCACGTGACCATTCCCTCCCCCCCATCGACGCGCCGTCTGAAGTCCCCATGGCTTACGGTACACTCGCCCGTACCTCTCCCGAGCTGAGCGTCTCGCCCAATTGCGTTTCTGAGAAGCAACGATCACAATCAAGAATCCATACTCGTGACTCGTGACGCGCGTCGACTCCTTCCCTGCTGCATTCCCCGCAAGTCACACCTCCCTTCACTCCGAGGACTGGCAACACCGCATCGCGGGTGGATCAAGGGTTCGGTTCTGGCGTACTGCGAATAGCTGGTCTGGTCTGGTCAGTTCAGTTGTGAGACAGGCTTTTCAAAGACGCAATGCCCAGACATTACACCGATAATGTCGATGACGAGGCGGGCGAGGATGAGGGACTGGTGTGAGTGTATGCGCTTTGTGAATGTGCAACGGGGCAGGGCAAAGGGGTTCAGCGGCAAGAGAAGACGGCAAAGGGAGCATGACTGACGGCCATCCAAATTGTTGCGCTGGCGCTTGCGTGCGCTCATGTCGCTCGCCTTGTCCGCCCGCCTCCTCTCCTGCTCTCGCGCCAGGCTGCATCGCATGGCGACGGATCCACAAGGACGTTCAGTGGTGCACACCATCCCATCCGGAGAGGAAGGCGCAGAGCCGTACGCTGATACGCCTACGCGCTTCGCGCGACCACATGGAGGTCGAGCGACGGATGCTCTGCTGGACGAGTTGAATGCAGAGGAAGAGAATATCGCCTTGCCCAGGAGGGATGCGCCTGAGCTGGACAAGACTGGTCGACCAGCTTGGCTTCTCGACACGCTCTCCGCAGCGCGTCACAACTCCCGCTTCCGATTAGCCATCGCCCTCGTCCTGGCCGGCTTGCTCGTCTTCACCTTTAGCTTTGCCTTTTCACCCGTCGGCGATGCTGCTGGCAAAGTGTACGGGTGGGGTGCGGATAGGTGGAGGGGCAAGCACAGACCCTGGGATTGGAATCCTGATCACAACGACTTTCCAGGCGTCACCAAGCCTGGCGTCCCTGCCAATCTGGCCAATGATCACCCTGACGGAACACCGACAAGAGGTGCACTGCCTATCCAGACTTCCATCCCAGGCAGCGACAAGTCTTTTCAAGCTTTGTGAGTGGGCTTGTATGCGCTTGCTGGACGCAAAAAGACCGGCTCCGCAACGCTCTGGCGCCCGCGGCTAACGTGGTGCGGCACTCTGCATCTCCTTGTTTGCGTAGCGAGCACATGGGTCCTCTCTCACCCTACTTTGCCAGTCCAGGGTTTGGTGTGGACAACATCAAGCACAGGACGCTGTCCGATGGCTGCAAGGTCGAAGCTGTGCACATGCTGCATCGAGTGAGTCGCTGCTGCGCACGCGTCCGTCGACACTCTCTCACACTCGGACTGACTCGTCCGTGCGATTGCACCCGCACCTTTAGCATGGCTCTCGCTACCCCACGTCCGGCTCCCCTACCGAGCTCATTCCTCGCTTGCTCGCGACCTCGGGCATTTCATTCAGTGGGCCTCTTTCCTTCCTCAACACGTACAAATACAAGTTGGGCGCCGAGCTGCTGGTTCCGCTTGGACGAGCGCAGCTCTACGAGTCGGGCGTCAAGGCAGCCATAGAGTACGGCTCCTTGCTCTCATCTGACGCCAGCTCCGGCAAGCAGTTGGCTCGCGCTGGCAGTCAACATCGGATCGTAGAAAGCGGCGTCAACTGGTTGGCTGGGGCTTGGGGTGCTGGTTGGAGGGACAAGGCAAATTTGGAGATCCAAATCGAAGCGCCTCGATTCAACACGACGCTCGCTCCAAATTTTGCTTGCGAAAATGCCAGTAGAAAGGTGAGCGAGGCGCTCTTGCTTCTTGTGCGAGTTTCCCAATGCTGAAGACCTGCTTGCGACCAGCCTACTGCCGCGGAACCTGGCGCTGCGGTCGCCGTAGCGTGGGAGGACAAGTATTTAGAGGATGCTCTTCGCAGGCTCTCCCCATACGTCAAAGGGGGTGCTCTGGTGCGTATGCTCGCGTCCTGTCACGTTCCCCCCTAGCGCCTTCTCATCAGCTCTCTTGCATCTTTACCTCTGGCCACGCACTTGCCAGACGACGCGCCTGCTCTTCGCGTTCCAACAAGCATGTTCGTACGACACTGTTGCTTTTGGTTACTCGCGTTTCTGCGCGCTCTTTACCACGCAAGAGTGGCTAGACTACGAGTATGCCTGGGACTTGGTCTTTTACGGATCGTACGGACCTGGCTCGCCAGTCGGTAGAGCGCAAGGTGTGGGTTGGGTGAACGAGTTGGTGTCTCGACTAGAAGGCAGACCTTGGGATGCCTCTACGCAGACGAGCGAGAACAGCACGCTCAACACCGACCCTTTGCTTTTCCCGCTCCACAAGAAGTTTTACGTCGATTTTACCCACGATTCCGTCATTGCCAATGTGCTCGCTGCGCTAGAGCTGCCAGACTTTGCGCAGGACTTGCCAAAGGACAAGAGGGAGCCGGGTCGAAAGTACAAGTCTTCGACGCTCGTGCCTTTTGCGGCTAGGCTCGTCTTTGAGGATGTCTCTTGCAAAGGGACCAAGACGACTGGCAACGGAAGCAGCAGCAGCAGCAGCAGCAGCAGCGGCGGCAGCGGCAGCAGATGGATCAGGATGCTGCTCAATGACGCCGTCGTGCCGCTTGGACAACTGCGGGAGTGCGAGAAGAGAGAGGATGGACTTTGCTCCTTTGATGCGTTTCTCAGCAGCCAGAGGGACCGCAATGTGCGCGCTGGCTGGGGCAATTGCACGCGCGGCGATCTCTAAGGATGGGAGGGAGAAGGATATTCGTAGATCGTTCAAGCGCGCCCCCCCTTCTTGACATGGACCTTTTGCACTTTTGCACGTACCGCTTCACGCGCATCGATACGACGGACGTCGTGAATGCATTTTCGATCACGCAGTGAATGAGAGCAGTTTTCTTTTTCGCGCTGCATGAAATTTGGTTCGCTTTGCTGGATGCGAGGTTGTTGTACATGTTTAGAGCATGGGAAGATGGGGGGGCGGGGGAGGCGCAAAGGCCGCGGTCAGGTTCCTCGCGATGAGAGCGCGACCGGCTTACTTGTTCAAGAACAAGTCAGCTTCGCGCGGTGCGGGGGGAGGATGGAAGAGTTTGGCAAAGCCTTTTTGGGAATCATCATCATCATCGCCATCAGAAGGAGGAGGCCAGAGCCAATTTTTGCGATCGTAGATTGCTCTGCTCTGATCTCCTTCGATGATGTGAAAAGTGTAGATGAATCTGCTCTTTTCGCTCGTGTTGCGCGTGGATCTGTGAAGGACGCTGCCGTGGATCAGCACCACATCTCCCGGTTCGCACTCTACCAGCTCTGCTTCATCATCCGACCACATCGCCTCTTCCCCCGCCCCCGCCGCCGTCGCCGCCTTTTCGTCGTCGTCGTCTTCTTCGTTAAAGGCTAGAAATTCCGTGCCGGATGCCGACCCATCCAATGCTGCTGCTGCTGCTGCTGCTGCTGTTGCATCTCTGCGAACAAATCGTCTGTTTATACCTCTCTGCACTCCGAATCGCGCCTCTTGACCATCCAAAGGCGGTCTTCGGTCCCTGCCCACCGCGCCCGCACCCGCGTCCACTTGTTGATCGACGGGCCAACGATGAGAGCCGGGTAGGAAGCTGAGCGCACCGTTGGACGCTTTGCAAGGTTCCAGAGCGAACCATAGACCCATGGCAGTGGGAGGAGAGGTGTAGAGGAAGGTGCTATCGTTGTGAGGCGGCACTGCCCCGCCTATGCAAGGCTGCTTGCAAATCTGTTCGAAGTGAGCGAGCGAGAGAGCGAGAAGAAGCGCCAGCACGTAGGTTTGCAACATTGTCAGCTGGAGCTCTGAGCTGCTGCCGTGCTCGTGTGCTTGAAAGAGAGAGATCAGATGGCAGAGCGCAGCGCAGCGCGAAACTCTCCTGCCCCCGACGAGCACAGAGATGCTTGTGCTCCCCCCCTCCCAATCGCCGACTGCTGTTCCCTGTTCCCTGTTCCCATCATCATCATCATCACCACCACCACGTGACTACTCACAATCATGGATTGCAAGACGCGCGGATCGATGTGCGCCCCTACGCTCCTGACCAGATTCTGCACGCGCTCAGAGAATGTAAAGGCATGAAAGGTGGGATCTAGGGTGTGGAGAGCTGCGGGCGTGGGCGTGGGCGTGGGCGTGGGCGTGGGCGTGGGCGTGGGCGTGGGGACAGCAGAGGACAGGGACAGGGACAGGGTGAGACAGGATGAAACAAAGTGAAATTCGAATTGCGCGAGCTTGAAACGCTGAGGACTTGTCTCAGACGGCCTGCATATTTCCTCGATCCTCCCATGCAACACCATCACCTCGACTCATAGCGCGGGCCTGGGCCTGGATCGCAGTCGTCGGCCGTCGGCCTTGCATCGTGATTGGCCGAGACGGAGACGGAGAGGGCCAGCGCTGTGCTCGCCATGGGGGAAATCGATCGCACGTGGCATGTTTCCACACTCACCATGACCAGCCTTGTTGACGCTGCGCTCTGGCGGCCTGTTCAGCTTGCCATCCTTTCCCACCGCGTCCTCTTCCAAGAACCATCTGACCTTATCATTGCTATTCAAAAAATAATCATCCCCCGTATGTTTCGCTTCCCCAGCAGCAGCAGCAGCAGCAGCAGCAGCAGCAGATGATGATGATGATCCATCGCCAGTGGAGAATTTGGTCATGGGATGTCCAGAGGGATCGAAAGCGTTGATGATGTGCTTTGCGCGAAGGAGAACATCGGCAGCTTGGGAAGCGAAAAAGGAGGGAATGCGAAGGTAGCCATCGCGTTGATATCGCAGCAGCTGTTCGGGCGAGAGGCAACCTGCACCGTGGCTCTGATCCGTGGCTGTTGCAGACATGCTGGTCGGTCGCGGGGAAGGGGAAGGGGAAGGGGAAGCAGGTGGACTAGTGACTCGAGAGAGAGATGGATAGAAAAAGGGCGTCAAGAATGTCAAGAATGATTCGCAGACCGGCAAGCTGCGAGCCACACCTCCAACCTACTCGTACTCGTACTGCACGCCATATCGTTGTCGCAACAAGCAGCACGTGATGCGGGGCAAGGCGCCGCGGATAAACCGGGCAAAGGTGCGTGCGTGCGTGCGTGCGTGCGTGCGTGCGTGCTTAATGTGAATGGAGTCAAGTGGGCCGGTGTGTCGGCAATGCGGCTAAGCGAGCGACGTGAGCGAGAGCGAGACGAGCAAAGATGAAGGTGGACCTGACCTGATCCTCGCGAGACATGCCTTTTACTTTCCTGACACACGCTACGTGTATACATGTGGCAGACGAGCGACTGCGCGGCGTATATATCGAGCACTCGCACTCACGACTGTTTCAGCCCGTGGCTACAAGCACGGACGCATCGCCATACATATCAGCAATCACGAAATATCGCTCCACATTCATATTCAGCAACTTCGCTCTACACGCCTACCCCCGTACTTCAAAGCTCGGAAACACATCTCACACCACAGAGTCAGCATGTCCGTCTCGCACGGCTTCAAATCCGTAGGCATTGTGGGCATGGGTCAGATGGGCATGGGCATATCCTACGTAGCGGCCATCAAGGCCAAGGTGCCTCACGTGGTCATGGTAGATGCTTCAGCCTCGCAAGCTCAAAAGGGAGTCGCCTTCTTTGACAGTCTGCTCAAAAAGGATGTGAGCAAAGGCAAGTTGGAGCAGAAGACTGCTGATCTGGCCAGATCGAGATTGACAGTGGTTCAGAGCATCGAAGAGCTGGGAAAGTTGGACGATGCTAAAAGACCCGGTCTGATCGTAGAGGTGCGTGCGGGCTCGGGCTACAGCTTTTCGCTTTTCGCTTTTTGCTCTGCTCATGGGCTCGCTACCTTGCGCGCCACCACCTTTACAGGCAGCAACAGAGTCTTTGCCAATCAAGCTCCAGATATTCAATTCGCTTGCCACGCACCTTCCGCTCGATACTGTATTGGCTACCAACACGAGCAGCATTAGCGTATCTAAGATCGCTGCGGCTGCTGTGCCCCAAGGTGCGGAGAAGGGTAGCACAGAAGCTTGGAAAGGTCCATCCAGGGTGAGTGGATGTAGCACTGCGGAAGCGTCGCTTCGTCACTCCATCCCCTCATTGCTGCCACCTGCCACCTGCCACCTGCCACCTGCCAGGCTCTTGGGCTGCACTTTTTCAATCCTGTCCCAGTCATGTCCCTCGTCGAGCTGATCCCAGCCTTGCAGACCGATCCGGACGTGACGGCCCGCGCACGATCTTTTGCCGAAGCGTGCGGCAAAGTGGTGACGACGAGCGCGGATGTGCCCGGCTTCGTATCCAACAGGCTTCTCATGCCATTCATCAACGAAGCCATCATCGCTTTGGAGTCGGGCGTAGCATCCAAGGAGGACATTGACACCACTTTGAAGTTGGGCATGAACCATCCCATGGGTCCATTGACATTGGCGGACTTTATCGGACTGGACACCTGCTTGGGCATCATGGAGACGCTGTACAGAGAGACGGCAGACTCCAAGTACAGACCTGCCGTGCTTCTCGGACGCATGGTGGATGCCGGCTGGATGGGCAAGAAGAGTGGAAAGGGTTTCTACGAGTACGCAGCGCGATAACCACACGCCTCGTTCGCACCGCACCGCACCGCGTTGTGTCGTGTCGTGTCCCCCACCCCGCCCCAGATGTTGATGATTGCACACGTCGAATCAAGTTTGCGCAGTCTGCCAAGTCGGACGACGAAACGTGGGTTGCGAATGTGAATGTTCATGTTCAGCAGGAGCGTCTGCTCGCGAAGCTTCCTCGGCGCGCATGGCAGCTCAAGCCAAAACGCAAGCTCAACGCGCGCGGCTTTCGCGTGCGCGTGCACCATATATGCTGGTGCTCCCACGAGCACGTGAAGCTGCGATCAACCACGATTGTCGCGTGCGTCGGCTGTCAGGTCCCGATTTGGCGTGTCGGAGTTACGAGTGTGTGGGTGGCCTGCTGCCTGCCTGCCTCCCACACGCCCCCGATTTCCTGCGACTCGGCTGATGGTAAATGCGGGGGTTTGCTCGGCTCCCGCGGCATGCCTTTGGTGAAACGCTATGGCACACGACATGACTCGCGGGTCGATCGGCTCGTTGGAAGAGCTTGACAAAGACAATCACGAATGTGAATGTCAGTTATTCCACCCCTTGCAATGGCACAACAAGTTTGGCACTGCAAGTCTGCAATCTTCTAGACACTATGACCTACTTCAACCTGGACGTTGGCAAGACTGGCAGCAGCAGCGAGCAGTCCCGTCCAGCGCCTTCTTCCGCATTGCTGATTGCTCGTCTGGGCGAGGCAGCGAGCGAGGTCAAGTTACCTCTATGTGCCACCTGCTCCACTCAGACATCGCAGGTGGACAAGGTCGATCTGGATTCGCAAGATGCGCCTTTCAAGTGTCCCATCTGCCTTGATCCGAGGCAGTACATTGGCGTCAAGGGGCAAATATGGACGACTTTGGAGAGGCTCATCGAACGAGGCGAATTACGAAACGATTTCCAGCAGGTCATGCCTGATCAGCTGTGGACGTTCAAGACGCGCCCGAGCTTCGGCATAGGGCAGCGCGCATTTTTGATAAAGGATGAGAAGAGCGAGGGGCTGATCATGTGGGATTGCGTAGCCTACATCGACGATGCCACCCTGAAAGAAATCGATGCGATATCTCAGGGCAAAGGCATAGCTCACATGGTCATCAGTCATCCGCACTACTATTCCACCACCGCTACTTGGCTTGCCGCATTTCCCCAAATGAAGCTTTGGCTTGCGGGCGTCGATTTTAGCGAGTGGTATCAACGGCAAGACACGATCGAGTCGGTGACTGCAGGCAAACAACCTCGCATTGGGTTGGTGGATGAGGAGCAGACGTATGTAGCCCCAGCTTTATCATCCGCAAACATCCTCCTGCTTGGCGGGCACTTTCCCGGCTCCTTGGTGCTGCTGTGGAAGGACTGTCTGTTCATCGCGGACACTATACAGGTAGTGCCCAGCGGCCTGTACAAGAGCGACCAGCCGCAAAGGCCGAATGTAGCCTCTGTCACCTTTTTGTGGAGGTGAGCGTCTCCTCTTGGGATCGTTTACGTCGGTCATGCAGAGCTGGCACTCAAGACTCGAAGCCTTGCTTGCCCTCTTCCACAGCTATCCGAACCAAATCCCGCTCAGCGCTACAGAAATCCAGCGCGTTTGCCGACCGCTCGAAAAGGTTCAATTCGACAAGGCCTTTGGCGCGTTTGAAGGCTTCGACATTTGGGGCCACGCGAGGGACAAGATCCTGCAGAGCAGAGACATCTTTTGTCGTAGGTTGGCAGCCACCTGAGCTTCTTTGAGATGGTCCGACTTGGATATGTTGGCATGACAGCCTGCCCTCTGACTGGGCTCTTCCCCCCCTCCTTTCTCTGACTCGACTTCGAGGTCTTCCCGCGCAATGCAGCTTGTACCATGCGTGTACATTCTTTCCGGCCCGATCGAACTGATTGCAAACGCCCTCATGCCTCCTTTGCGAGCACGGGTTCCTCATCCACGAAACGAGTGATCGTTCGCCTGTGCGCATCCACCTCGCTCCACAACCTCACACGCCTCTGCAGGGACGCTGCCCGGGGTGTCGCGTCCGCGTCTTTAGCGCGATACCAGCTGTCATGCACCTCGCGGTCGCTGCCTCTGCCCGGTGGGCATGCCGGCGACTTGGCCTTGGCAGTCCCTAGCTCAGTCTTGACACGATGGCGACCGCATGGTCGAAGAGCTGAGTGAGCGAGGAAAGCGCAGCAATGCCTCACGTACCAATGTGCCATTGACCAACAGTCATGAGTATGGAGTCACATTTCTCGAAACTCTGATGCTTTATAAGAAAGGACGTCTGAGAAATTTCCCAGAGAAATTGGGCGACTCATCTATCGAATCTGCTAGCTACGCCTCGCGACACCAAGATGACTGCTTTGCGTGTTTGTGGGCTTCTCTGCCTTGCTATCGGCATCGGCATCCTGAGCGTCGCTGCGCTTCCCCGCCAACCTGCACGTCGAGGGGGAGAAAATGGACTTGGACTCAAGCCTGCATCACCTTGCACCAAAGGCTTGCATGTTTGGGTCCGCGCGGATGATCTTCGACCGTGAGTGAGGATTGGGGGGAATCTGAAGGCGCGCCCATGTTCACCGTGCAGACTGACGCGTTTCATTGCCAATGTCCAGCTCGTCGTTGGTGGAAGGAGAAGCACGATTGGTGAATAATCTGACTCATCTGGCCGACAAGCCAGTTCTAGCAGAGCAGTGTCGCATCGTGTCGTGGACTCTTGGCCTTCGACACCGCGAGCGCGTGGCACTAAAGTATCCCGCGCTCGACGTGCAGCCACCTCAGAAGCCGCAATGGAACTACACCTGGTCGAGCCCATACTATGGCTTGCAGGACGAGCTTTCCGTCTTTACGCCCTTCTCTCCGGAAAGGACTGCTTACGAGAAGCGCATGCAAGAGTACGCCGACGCTATGGCCAAGAGAGAGCAATGGATAGTAGCAGAGAAGCAGCGTCTTAACTTCGAGGCTGTCCGCGACATGGGTGCGGTCGAGACACCCTCAGAGAGTGAGTAGGCACACCTTTCAGAACGCTACCAAGCGCCGGTACGATCAGAAAAGTCGCCGCTCACCCTTCCTCGCCCCCTCCACATAGATTTGCAAGTCGTAGAGCTGGAGCCCTTTCTCATTGCAGTACCGCCTGTCATCTTCCCACCACGCGTCGAGGGTCACGGACATGCAACAGGTCGGGGCTCGTCTAACGTCTCGGTGAGTCATGCTGTGCCAGTCATCTTGCCAAAACGTCCCTCATCCTCGTAATCACCACGCTGGCAGTACGCCCGTGAGCTCGACATGGCGTATTTTGCCCAAGCTCACTCAGCTGGAGGAGACATCATCGAGATTGCAGCCGGACAGACGACGTCTGTGCCACCGCCAATGTGGTCATCCGACGCGGCGCCCAAACGTCGTCGAATTCACCACTCGTTCAACGAGAGCAGCTGGGTGGAGGTCATCCGGGATGCGCGTGGTCCTTCATTTACCCCCAGGGTGGTCCATCTGCAAGGTTTGAACGCTTCTTTGACATTCGAAAGTTTTTCGGCATGGGTCCAAGGTATGTCGCGCTCGCGCTGCGCGTCAGGCATTGTCCGAGCTGACGCTCACCTGGCGTCACAGGGGACAAGCGTCAAGTGCAAGGAGAAATGTTCCTCCAAGGCGACAGGTACCATGTCGAGGCGGCACACTTTAAGATTGTCCAGCACGTGCGCCCGGTGTGGGCATCATCGCAGCTGCTGGCAGAGACGCACAACACACGCTCGCTTGAGATTGAGCTGCTGCGACGTGTCGGTTTGGCCGACAATCTCATCTTCACTGGCAATGAGACCAGGCCTGAAAAGCAAAGCTCATCCCGGAGCCGTCTCGCAGTGCCTTTGTCGGTGGAGGACCACCTCAGAGCTGCGATAAAGCAGCGGAACGAAGGTGCACAGATGGAGTGGAGCTTCAACATACCTGCTACTGCCATGACATTGACGCCGCAGCCGAATGGACGGACGCAACTGTCTGGGTGGGCAAACATCTCGGACTCTGCGCCACTCACGACCAGCACGGCGGCTGCGTTCGAAGATGTTGAAGCTTACGTCGTTGCCGAAATCATCTTGCGTGACCGTTCGGTGGAAGGCGTCGAGGACACGGCCAGTGGCGAGTCTTTGCGATCTGATCGCATTCTCGAAGAAAATTACGGGTGGGACAGCAGAGGATATCCCAAAAGCAAGGAATGCCTCGCAGGCATGCCGCAGTCCATGTGCACTCTGCGCGGGCCGCAGTACCGTCTTACCGCCATCTTTGAAGGAGTGTCCGTGCTACCGCGCGGCTCGCGCGCGCACTTCAAGACCAGCAAGATACGCGACATGGTGCGCGAGCATCAGCGATGCAAGACCAATCCCGTCGGCTACCTCTCTCCAGAAGCTCGCGCACCCATGTTCGTCGAGCCAAAGCAAGCCGCAACCGCTGCAAAGCACTTTTGCAGCAATGACGATTTTTTCCCTCGCATGAATGCTACCACGACGTCTCGCGAGCGTCGACCTGCAGAACATGGTGCCCAATCAACCAGCGACTCGGAGCTGCTCTTTGTCTCCAACAGGTGGCAGGGTCGCCGCCTCTTTTCGCACGAGGAGGAGGAGGAGTGTGGGGGATTCAGTTGGACGACTCCTCAAGCACGCACCAGGGTTGGCAAGGTCTGGGCGGAGAAAGTCATTTTGCCAGAGATGGATTTGTCTGACATGGACGCGCAAGAAGGCGACGGTGATCGTGACATCATGCGAGCGCCTCCGCTCGTGATGCAGAATGTGGCAGAGTGATCCGGTGTCGGTACCTCTTGACGTCGTGTCGCCGTCTGACCACACACGCATCTACGTCTTGCTGCGTGTCAATACATGAACCGTGCCCCGTCTCCTCTACGCGACACTTGCCACTCTTGCTTGACACCTTTCGTTGCTCATCTGTATGACCGTCGTCAAGCTCCGATCGAAGAATCTGGGTGCAATCTCACATCGACATTGAGCAAAAGTGACATTTTTCGACCGACTACAGTACATACGGGATCGAGATTGCCCATGTCAACATGCGCGCACAGCAGGGTATCGAGCTCCGGCCATTCCTCCCCTTTCTCAAACGGCAACCTCGCCGTGAACTCGGACGCGATACACGCACGTCCTTTTCTTGTCGCCCCAATTCGAAAGAAAGTTCCACTGCGTATCGACAATTGCGAGTCTGAGCGCCTTTTGTTCTTCCGACGCTTCAAAATTCTGAACCGATCTCGAACCGGGCGTAGCGTCGTAGGTGACGCTTGCCAAGTGAATGTGGTTGGGAGTAGGTGGCGTGGGCGTTGGTGTATCGCTGAGCTTCTCCGGATCCGAAGCTTGCTCCTTGCGATACTCTTCCAATCGTCGAACATCGTGCTTGTCTCGAATGAAGCCCCACACAACAATGTCCTTTGGAGCTTCGTTCATGTGTAGTGCGACGGGCTGAGGCAAGTGGTCGACAGAGACGTCCGTGACCACGACTGGCTTGGCTAGGCGGATGCCGAGCTGGGCAGTGTCGCCCGCAAAAGCCCAGCATTGACCTGGCGCGTTGTCATGATGAATGACGACGGCAGGAGAGTGCAACAGCTGGCTGCTACGACCTCCCAGAAAGCCCGGCAGCATCTTTGACAGGGTGCTTCGTGGTCGCATGGAACCGGAAGTGATCTGCGGGATGATTCTTCCGCCCGTCCAGCGCAATGCAAAGTCCGTCCTTCCCACCCGGTCTGCAGCGTAGCGCTCGAGCGCCGCGTCGATCATGGAGCTGACGGCGGAAGCAGAGACTTTTTCGTCGCCATCGGCATCCGACTTTTGACCCTTTCGAAAGGGGCTCCATGAGCCGCTGCGCTCGTACATTTCCTCTTGGCTGCGCACCTTGGCCAGAATCTCCGTCTGCAAACCTGCTGCATTGTCGTTGAACTGCTTCTCCAGTCCGGCCTTGGCCTTTTCGATTTCTTGATGCACCAGCTCTGTGAACGCTTCGCGACTAACGAGGCGCAACGACTCTTGACCCTCTTTGCTGTTGTGGGTCTGCCTGACGATCTCGCGCAGCTGCTTGGAGATGACTTGCTCGTTGGAGCGATAAAAGTCGTCCCACGAGACGGCTGGAGATGGTGCTCCTTCCTGTTCTTGCGATTTGCTGGAGGCATCCACTGCACCTTGCAAGGTCTTCCAGAACAATGGATCGATGCGGTACTCGCCGTCTGCCTGTACGCGCACAGGCATCTGCACTGGCAGCTTTTCTGCCAGCTGGATGAGGTCTCCGATGGCCTGCTGAGCGCGCTTGCTGTACCTGTCGTTTGCATCTTCCAAACGATTCATGCGCTTGTCCGACTGCGCTCGCCAATCTCCGATCGCCTGGCTCTCCTTTTGGCGCACCTGATGCGCCGCTTCCAGCTTGCGCTCCACCAACTCCAGCTGGCTCGAGTACTGTCGCGTGCTCTTCTCCACCACGCCCAAACGCTTGTCGTGCTTCTGAACCTGGCCGTGCAGGTCTGAAAAGAGCTTTTCGAAATTGTCTGGCATGATTTTGGGCAAGTTTGCGCTTCCTGGCACGATGCGGCGCATTACGGAGTCCGGTGTGAGGATGTAGGCAGCCAAGAGGGCTAGAATGGCAAAGAGCAGATACGTGTTCATCTTGCTCGTGCTCGAAGCGGGCGGTGGGGAGCCAGGCGTGCGAGGGTTGGCTTCTGCAGAGATCTCTAGAGTAGTGCTGATGCTTCGATTCTGATCCTGCATCTCTCGCTCCTCGTTCCACGAGCCATTGACGGCATCGATGACCAGGCTGTCGCTTCGCGTGCTGCGGCTGCGGCTGCGGCTGCGGCTGCGACTTTGACTACCATCGTCCGGCGGCTCCAAAAAGCGAGAGTGCAGCTTGGCAGCTTTGTAGGCGGCCTTTTTTGGAGTAGCAGCAGATGCGGTGCTTCCGCTCGCACCCGCCCTGTACGCATCCACCCCTGATACGCGCGCACCTACGGCGTTTTGTGATGGCAAAGCATCACCGGGAGTCTTGGATGAGTTGACTGAGAGGATATGGGCGAGCAGAGATCAGCATACAGGCGTGCGCATCGCGAGTGCGCTGTTTTTGCTGCACTCACAGGCTTCATCGTCGCTGTCCGGCTCCGCAGAGCTGGGAATGGTGGGCTGTTTGGATTGGTGAGTGAGGAGGCCATTCTGCCTTCTCCTTTGAAAGCTTCGCTCAGGCAGCGTCGTGCTTGTAGGCGCGCCGTAGCTGCCATTGAGCTGGTTGGGTCTGCGCTCGTTGACAGGCACCGCTCTGTTGCGAGGTGAGGTGCGAGAGGGTGACATGGAGCTGCTGGCACCAGAGTTGCTAACAGACTCTCGCGTGTTCTGACGCGCTCGAGAAGACATGATTGGAGTCACGAGTGGTCGTGATGATGAGGATGCGGACGTGCGGCACTTTGAATGACTGCGTGGCTGATAGCGACAAGGAGGAGTGCGATGCGGTGCGGTGCGATGCACGCTTGGGCGCCGGTAGCAGAAAGCGGAACAGGGGCCTGCTGCGATGTTTGGTGGTCTGGCTGCTGCCTGTAATCACGAATGTGTCTGCTTGTATGCACCTCACGCGCGTCGTCGATTGTGTTGATCTTTGTTGCGAGCTGGCTAGCGTGGAGTGCGCAGCCGTCCAGAAGAGCACGCAGAGCACGCAGAGCACGCAGAGTGCAAGAGGTGATGGTGGATGTTTGGCTAGACGCGACAGCAGAAGCCGAGGGTTGAATATATGCTGCGCTGTACGGGTGCAGGTGCGAGATGCGCAAGTGAGAGTGACGAGCGCTGATGCTCAGCAAGAACGTCGATCGATGCGTTGTAATCCATCCAACCAACTTGAGCCATGCAGCCGCGGTGATGATGGACGATGAGCTCGCGATGCGCCCCCCATGCAACGCGCGCGGTACCGTTAGCTTGCTTGCGCGCGTGCGTGCATGCAACATATAATATGCGCAGCAGGAGGTTAATCACGAAACCATTCAAGATTGATGCATTTCTAAATACGGCTGACCAGCTCCATTTCGCGGCAAGGCAGTTTCAAGTCCCGAGTGTATGGCAAGGGCGCTCGATCGCTCGCTCACTCACTCGCGCTCATGCACTCAAACTGCTCAGCCGCGAGCCGTTGTCCCACCTGCACCGCAATCTTCCCGCAACCTCTCACCGCCGCGTTTGTACTCAGTGAAACGATACTAACAACGCTTTGAGCGTCGAATGCGGTTAGGCATTCAAAAAACGCCAACAGACTTGAATTGAATGACGAATGTGGGGGCGCGACGCGACGCGATGCGCTTGCAGGACAAAGGACGCGTCTCACGCACGCATCTCAGCCTCACATCATCCATCTGCATCCATCGATCGGAAATCGTTGGTTGATCGAGGCGAGGGCGAGCTGCAATTCGTGATTCACATTCACGACTGGGCGCAACGGATTCAATCAGATGGAAGCACAAGTGTGAGTCGTGAACGTCAAGAGGCTCAAGCGCGCAAGGACCCGGGTGCGCTGCAGGCCCGTGCCGGTGCTGTTTGAAGCACATTCATGCTTGC